ATTCCTGGGATCTACCACGTGCCTTATGCAAGTTAGATGTTGTTATTTTTTTATCATTCAGGTTTTTTCCCACCTTTTTTTTTTAATGTTCCCAGTGTTCTGCTTATCTGGCACTCATGCCCTCCTCAGGGTCACTGTGCTTTGACTGGTAGGGGGAAGAGAGACCTGAGATCACATTGCAGCACATTGATTTGGAGCAGGTGCAGCTTTGAGATGGTTTCTGCTATCTCAGCCACCTCCTACATTCCCGTCTGGATTGCAAACTTTATTTTTTCCTCCCCTTTTCCCCTCTTGTCAGGAATAATTTACTAAGCCTGTCCTTCATCTCTTTCCAAAGGTAAAGCTTGTGGAAGGAAAATAGCCAAGAGATGCTGAACCTTATCAGGGTTATTTCCCTGCACTTAAGCTGTCAGCTGTCAGGGGTGGGATTTCCTGTTGGTTTCACATCATTGCAAAATAGAATTTTTTTGTGCTTTATTTCATTGGTTCCTTTCTTTTCTAGAAGGGACAACATTTCCCCCTTTTAAATGTACTGTTTGTTCTTCTTTATATCATGTAATGGTTGTGGCAAGTGGAATGGTTATGTTGTCTGAAGTGTAACTCTCATGACAGAAGACCATGTACAGACAGTATGCTCAGTGAAGCTGGACAGCCCCCAGGACCACTGCATATTTTCCTCACCGTGGAGGAGATGTGATTCAGGTGCATAAAACACAAAAGAGGGTCTCCTTTTTCTCACAACGAGATGCAAGCAGACCCCATTTCCTCTGTTTTCTTGCTTCAAGAGTTGGGAAACAACAGTCATGTGGACATTTGATAGCAAACCTGCTCTGCTTGCAGGAGTCTTGTAAGGGATTTGTTTGCTTCCTGGAGATGAAATCCACTGCACTTAGAAAAACAGGTTCTTTTGTCACTCTCCATGTTAGACTGACATTTCCTAATGTGCACCCATTGTCACAGGGGAGTATTAGTACAGCCAGCACTCATCAGCAGCATGCTGTGTGAGGGACTGAGTGACTGGTCAACTCAAAAAACCAGCTTGCCAGGGCTCCCTCACACATGTCAAGTCAGTGTCTCCACCTGCAGCTGCCACTGCAGTGGCCTGAGATGGCAGCTCGGTGCTCAGAAAGAGCTGGCAAGGTTGCAGGGGAGACCAGTGGGAGATGTGATTCCTGTCAGCTGCTGGCCAAATATTTAAAGACTTTTTTTCCCTGCCTTTTATCTGGTTTTATGGGCTACCTTGTTTAATGGTTTAATAGATCACTTGGGCAGTTGTGTTAGATGATTGTTTTACATCCTTGGGTTTGCAATGTAACTCCCTAAAGGATTGCTGTCTTAGGGCTGGAGCAGGGAACTGTGAGACTGAGCCATACTTGGGAAGTGGTACATGGCAATGGCTGGGAGAGCCTACACCACCTAGAAGAAATGGTCCTCCTGCTCTTGTGCAGATGGGGCACAGGAACTTCCCTTGGCACTTGTAAGGAAGTGTTGCAGTGATAATTCTGGACAGACTGCTCACAGTGCAAGAGACTAGAATGTCTGCAGCTGCATTGTTAAAAGTTGCACAGGTAGTGCATTTACTTTTTCTGTTTAGGGAACCAGCAGTAGTGTGCTCATCACCCTGTAATAAACAACTTAAAAATGGAGAATTATCTCAGTATAGAGATGGAAAAGCTCAAACTTCTTATCAGCACTGTCGCGTAATGTCAGGGAGATTGTGCATGTTTATAAACTGCATTGCACTGGGAAATTTCTGTGTGGGTGTCCTTTCTTTCCACCATGTGATAAAAAGGTGGGAAAAAAACCCATCTGCTCAGTAAAATAAGAAGTGAGAGACCATTGGGTTGCAGTGATCCAAAGTGAGCTAAAAATCCATGTCAGAAAAGGACATGACAATTTGCACATGTTGCACAGAGCAACTAAATCCAAGCCCACATCTGTGCCTGTTGCTCAGGCTTCCACAGGAGAATACAATCAGTTGTTAGACCTCCAGTAGCCTTCAATATATTTATGGAATGAGGAGCTGCTAAACACTAGCTGTAGGTTCTCTCTAGGAAGTTGCAGATTCTAGAATGCATAAGAGAAAATAGCTTGGTGGCAAAGAACAGAGTAGGCTACAGATCAAAACAAATGTTTTAGCCACTGGCTTTTCCCATCCTGCAGCTAGATTTGGAGTGTAAATGGGATGGACACACACTGCAGCCACAATTTTAGCGGAAATCTTCATGGTGCAGTCTCAGTAGGGATTTTCACTGTAGCAATGCAAGTTGTCCTGTACTGTTGCAAATTGTAAGTCAGTCTTTGCTGATCTGAGCAACTGGCTCATATTTCCAGTAGGTGCTTCAGAAATGCAGTGTTGTAAAATAAATTACTAGTGTATCATTCATGCCTTCAGTCTAGAGACTGTTGAAAGCAAGCCCTTTGCATTCTTACAATTAAAAAGTAAAGTTTTCTTCTGTAGCTGTACATGTCTCTCCTTTTCCTATGCCCAACCTTCTTTCTTCATTAACATTCAAAACCTAGGAATAGTTATTCCCTGTTTGATTATATCTGTGGTGATCAGCTGAAAGGCAGCACTGTTGCTGTTTAGTGATTCCAAGATGTGAAAAGCAGAGAAAATGCTTCATACCAATTAGCTAACTGCAGTGGCAGCAGAGCTGTGGCTGTGCAATAGTCCTGTTTCAGGGAAGAGCTTCAGTTAAAAAGGCAGCTTGTGGTTTATTTCATTTCAGCATGAAAGCAATTTTTTCTCCTTCTGACCGCCAGTTACTGAGTTTGTACTGTTTTAAGGTCAAATACATGAAGTTGTCTTGACATGAGCAAGAATGATAGTTGTCGCTGGCATACAGGTGGGTTGTATGGCCAGCCTCGTGTGTTGTCCTTTGCCTCTGTCTGTGTGGCAATGAAAACTGGAAGTTATTTTCCAAAAATGTTATCATCATGTTTCTGACCAGACACAGTTGTCTGACCACTGGTAAAGAAACCATTTGGAGCCCAAAGACAGTAAAAAATTAATCATGTCTAGCAAAATGTCAATATAAATATCCCTGTCACCCACCATGTTGCCTCAGCCACAGCACCTTCCTGTCCCACTCAGCAGCTGTCCCACCAGCACCCTGCAGATATGGCTGCTGTAAAGAGGATCACTAAGAGGATGAAGGCTCTGGAGACCCCTCAGGCCCTTTACTGTTGAAGGGCTACAAGGCTCCCACTTACTCATCAGTCTCCTCATGGTCCTGGAAAAGCACCAGTTAGGTGGGTTTGTTTCCAAGTAGTTACAAAGAACTCATTAGGAGGACATGGAGTCTCCTTGGAAACCTTAAGATGTAACAGTACAACTGGTTGAGGTGTGGTTTAAAGCAGCAGAGTATTGAGTTTATGCTAGTTGAAATATTTAAGAGAGAACTGATGTTGAAAATCCTTATTCATGCGAGAGAATACAAACCTTTTGATGATCATATCCATGATGTGCATTATTTTCCCTCTTCTTGTCTTAGGGTGTTCTTGGCTCATTCTGTCCTGCATAAATAGAACAAATGTCCCACAGCTGGATGTCAAATCTCATGGAAATGTTGTACAGGAGCACTATGAAACTGTGCCCTACCATGTGTTTTTTCTGAAGCAAGAAGGGTGACAGTTGCTAAATAGCTTTATATGAACGATTCTATTGCAAAATCTTGTGCTGTCCTTTGGATAGATAGCGCTGCACAAATGAGGATCTGTCAAGACTAAAAGCAAGTATGGAAATTAACCAGTAAAAATTGTTCCACACCAGCATGTAGCTCAAAGAAAATTTATGCTGTGTCGAAGGAAAACCAGTGGCCCTCATAGGACTACACCAACTAGTGTAAGAAAGCTGAATTAAGCAGTTCTTCTGTGTATAGACAGGTCATTGCTAATTACCCATGATGGTGAAGATACGGGAATTCTGCTTGGCTTGTTAACACACTGAAATAAGCTATGCGACTTCTGTCTGGCTTGGTTCTTCTAAAGTTTCACGTACAATGGCTTTAGGGCAGGAGAGAATATTTCACATTGTATAATTCACTAGAGATAAAACTGCTCATTGACTCTATAAAAGTGCTTCCTTGGGCAAAGTCTAAGAGAAAGGTCCAAGGTGCCTTTTTTTCTCTTGAGCCCTTTAGTGTGTTCTCAGTCATTGTTTGGTCAAAGTATTTTAATTTGATTTTCCTGGTGTTTGGGATAATATCTTTTGTAAATCCAGGGATAACTAGGAGAAAAGCCATGTTAAGGGATTCTCAGCAGGAAAGTAAAGCTTAGCAAGGTATGTATTAAGTTCTGCTGCAATGAAACACCACTTTTTAAATTTGAAGATACACATAGTAAATGCTCTCAGAGCAAACTGGTAACAGCAGTTTGCCTTAAGAGATGACCCTAAGAGAGACTCATCCAATGTAACTTTATACATGGGATGTAGCCATCCACATCAGAACTAGTCATATAACTTCCCTGCATAGTCACCTCAGATACGGGCTTTTTCAGGACATTAACGCATTGGCTTACTTGAGTGCATGTCTGAAGTGGAGATGGAATGTGTGCAAGTATCAGTTCCCCTCCATGAACAGAAAGGGAGTGCTGAGTGACTGTTCAAGTATCTGTAGCTGGTAAAATGAAACCTAATCTATGAGACAATTTCTGGTCTTTATTTTTTCTTTCCAGGGTAGGCACTTTCTTATAATCTGGGGACTTCAGAGTGTTGCAATCTTTGCAGAATAATTCTGATGAGTGGATAATGCGTGCCAGCCTTTGGGGTGAGGGCCGTCTCTCTGTTTTGTGTTCATACAGCCCCAGGCACAGCAGGGTCCTGCCCCAGGATGGACCTCGTGTACACTACCACAACACAGATAATCAATAACAGCAGACTTAATTAGAACTCTGATCAGTCTCTCTTCCTTCCAATTCTCCATGTTTTAAGTTCCTGCAATGTCTAAATGAGGTTTGATAACAACTCTCTGTCTCTCATTCCCCCTATCCCACAGGAGCACATTTACAAGCTGATGAAGAGTGACAGCTACGCGCGCTTTCTGCGTTCGAATGCTTACCAGGACTTACTGCTGGCAAAGAAGAAGGTATCTGTTGGAAAGGACATGCTTGCATCTCTTAGCACGTCTTGATTCTCGCCTGCTGCTTGCTGCTAGTGTGAAAGTGAAAATATTGTTCGCATTTTTTTCCTTTAAGAAGGGAATGAGCACTTTTATCTTCTTCACTGGGGGCATGGCATCCATGTGCACAGCCTCAGCATGAGTTTTGGGGAAAACATGGTGATTCAAGGTAAAAGTAGTGTGGGAAGGTGTTTATCTTGCACTGCTGTCTCCCAAACTCAGTGCAGACAATACAAATTGTATTACCTCTTCCTCATGGAAAAGATGGCATGCGATATGAGAAGCAGAACCCATCAATCTTTTCATTACTGCAAAATGCACTCCCTAGTCTCACCATGTGATATTCCCTTTGGATGCCTTACCTATAGATCCCCCTGCAGCAATTCCCATACTCCTTTCCCTTGCTTTTTCTTCCCCAGAGATGCTTCCTTTTCCTCAGAGACAGGGAATAATTGTAATGCATGTAGTAATCAAAAATTCCAGCCACATTGTCTACAAGAAATCTGGGTTTGAGCTCTTCTTAGCCTTTTTGATATCTGCATGAGCTCTGCCAGCACCATGATTCTGTCAGGAGCCTCCAGATCAGGGTAGCAAAGGAGCAAATGTAGAGTTACACCTCCTGTCCTCGAGTCCCCTCTTTCTAAGGGGTCTAGGAGATAAACTACTGATTTCTGCGTTTGTGGCTGTGCTCAAATGCTTTCTGCAACTCCTGATTAATTCCCATAGCTCTATGTGTGTCTCTGTGTGCATGTGCATGCCATGTACACGTGTGTGTGTCCTACTTGCATTTGGCTCCCAGGACTGTACATAAACTGACTCCTGACTCCTGCAGCCTGAGTGTGTGGTTTCTCATCACCATCTTCCCTGCTGTTTTTCTGCTGCATTCTCTGTGTGCTGCCAAATTACATTGCATCGGCACAATACAATGAAATCCCAGTGGTATTTTTGTCCCGATTGTCATTGTGTGCCCTAAAAGCATGCATATGGTGACAAAAGGAGACAAGCCCCTCTGTCTGCTGTGCCTGAGACTACTGGCAGGTGGATTAGCAAAAGGTAGTGGAGGGCAGCAGTCAGCCTTGTGTTTCAAAATGTCTGGTCTGAGACAGCATAAACCAGTGCTGCTTACATTTAGAAGAGTTGGACCTGACTTAGCTCAGAGACTGGAGAATGAAAGAGATGTGAGGCAAAGTCTTCTGACGGTATAAACCATAAAAGCCTCTGCCATCTTCCTACCCCCAGCAGCTTATGACCCCCCTACCCCCCAGTCTCCATTGAATACTTGAGGGTTCATGTGCTTGAAAGCCAGAAGAGCTTTCTCCTCCCAGCCAAACCCATTCAAACCAAAGGTTTATTTTTTTGCAATCCTTGTTTGCTGTCAGATCAAGCCCTGGATGTGTCAGCATGACATCCTCATCCCCCCGCAAACTGCCGCAGGAGCAGGTTTTGGTGTCATGTTAACACAACCGTGAAAGTAAGAATCAAGTTTCTTTTAGAAAGAGCTGTGGGTGCACAAGTAAACATATGAAGGCACAAAAAAGGCAGGACTAGATCAGTGCAGATGTGCTGTTCATCAGCTGCACATTATGCAGGAGGGGGGTTGGTGTTACTCCGGAGTCTTTAAAGCTCTTTGCAACCACATTACACTGTGTTGGGCAAGTGAATGTTTTGGAAACAGTAGGTATGGAGATGATGATAGAAAGAACATGACATTTCTGTACACTGAGCCACATGGTCCTATCTTTAGGATGTTTGGTGCAGCTTTGAGAGGCAGCCTTTTAAAATTCCTCTAAATAGCTAGAAAGCAAGGGAATGAAAAGAGGAACCCAGTGACACATTAGAGCCTGCAAATAAAGTCCTGGATTTACTGATGTAAATAGAAATTCAGTGCAGTTCTTTAAGTTGTGGTGAATACATCTCTCTGAGGCCTGTCTTTCCCCAAAGTCATTATCCTCACATGGCTTGTACACCACACTGATATGACATAGCTTACTTTCATTACCGAAAATAAGTTCTGTCAGAAGCACAGCGTGATGGACGTGGGGTAAAAAGAATTGCTTGCACTAAGCAAATAAACTATGGCTTCAGATTCCCACATTAATGTTTTGTGGATAAGTTTGTGTTATTTGGGATCTTTTGCCCTCCAGCACTGGGTTATAGCAAACTGAGAGGGCAAGCAAAAGGGAAAGGTAGACTGTGTGGCTAGAGCACAGAACTTCAAGCCATAAAATCTGTATGCTTTCCCTGGTTACCCTACATAATTTTATGTGTGAGCTTGGGGAAAAAAAGTTCAACCTTGCCTGTCCTATATCCTCCTCTTTTTCAAAGGGCAATTTATTATAGTGACCTGCTCAGCAAGAGAGATGCCAAAGCTTGATTAGTGCTTCAAAACATACTTCACATTTCTGGTATTTGTAAAATACTGTAAGTTTGAAGAGTTACTTTCTTCCGCACCATACAATAACCACAGATGTGAGAGCTTTCCATGCCTGCTCTGGGAGTACAGTAATGGAGAGAGAAGAACTTCTGGGTTGAGATTGAGATACAGTGACAGAATTATGAGGGGAACATATTGTTCACACCACTAACTGATGCAAGACAGCAGACATAGGCTGTGTACAGGCCAGACATACATATTTTGTTAATCCATTTTAGATGTTTTTTCTCCGTTCTTCCCAGTGTCATTATTGCAAGTAACCACAGTACTACTGGCCTCAATCCTGCAGATTCATGGTGCTCAGCAGGGAACATGAGGTTGGCCTCCAGCAAGGGTGTGATTAGAAGCAGTGAGCTGCAGAGGGGAAAAACTGGGTGTAGCCTTCTGCCTTGAACAGAAGGCCTCCTCCCTGCCAGGCTGGAGGAGAGATGAGAGCACAGCCCTGTCCTCAGGAGGAATGGCCATATGCCCAGCCCAACTGGAGCTCTGTGCCTCCATTCCCAGCCCCCTCTCTGCAGCAGGTAGAAATCATGGATCTGCTGAAGGTGTCTGGCTGGGCAGTGAAGGGTTGGATGTGCTGAGATCCCTGAGCGACTCGCTGCGTTTTATTTGTGTATGTATGCAACATGCCCCACTGGTGCTACGCAGAGTCAAGCTCTGACCTGCTCCTGTTTCTGCTGATATGCACTTTGTTGCAGGATACTTACAGTAGGTAATCACCACTGCATTGCCCTCCAGCCCTTCTCCACAGTAGCCAAAATGGTGGCTAGATGTCCTTAGACAGCAGTGATCCACCTGTCAGGACAAGTGCTGTGATAAACCTCCTCAGTCAAGGCAAGGAGGCATTTTGGCAGGGTGACTTGGCAGCAGAGCAGGGGCTTATTCCCTGGAGAAAGAGCATTGTGGATTAGTTAGTGCACCATTGAAGGGGATGTGAGTGCACAGGAACTTTTGTTAATGGTGAAGAAGCAGCCAGACACGTGCTCTGCTAGTTATTTTTGCAGAGAAGGGAGCGAAAGGAACAGAAAAGACCTCGAGGTACTTTCCATTACTCACTGTAAAGGTGAAACAATGACATTGGTTGGCATCTCTGCATTACTGAAGCGGCAGCTGAACTGTCACAGTGCTGGTGTTCATGTCAGCCTGGGATGAGGTGGCTTCCTGTCACCCAGCCCTGCCCATAGGCAGGGAAGCATCCTGGAAAGACAGCCACAGCTGTAGTGCAGACAGGCTGTGAAGCTATGGGAGTGAGCCCTGCAGCACTGAGGGAAGAGCAGGTTGGTATTTTCTTGGTTTAGAGTATTGTTTTGTTCTCCAGCTGGTTCAGGGAAGTGTGAATTCACCATGATTCTATTCAAATGAACACACAATATATACAAAATACTCTGGCCACTTGGTAGCACTGTACATGCCCTTTGTTTTCTCACTTTGGACAGGTAGATGTGACTGGCTGAGAAGCCCAGGATCTGCTCCTGGCCTTTTCTGAACCCAGGGTCAGGGATATTATTATTCTTTATTTTTATCTGATCCCATACCCTCTGGAACACATTCTTTTTCATCAAGTTCAAAATAAACCCCACTTCACACCCCAAAGCCTCATACCAAAAAAAGAATTCAGTAGCCAACAAAATAAATCCATGGAGGGAGGGTGGTAGAGAATTTTGCAGACCTTATGTTCAGAAGACTGAGTTTCTATATGTATTTCCCTTGCCCTTTTCAAGTCCCTGGCAAAAAGTGTCAGCAAGGGGATACTTAGGAGCTTCATGCCATGAGGAGCAGGCTCCATTTCCTGCACACACCTTTTGAAGCATTGCTTTTAACCACACCCCCTGTTGCCAGCTGCTCTGTATTGTCCAGGAAGGTTCCTGTTGCAGATTATGCCCCCTTCTCAGTCCCATCAGGGCACACATGGCTATTTCGGTTCAGTGGCAGGACTTGTCTTGAATGTTATAGAGATGCTGAGCAATTTTCTCACAATTACTTTTAATAGTCAATGTGAGCTGGTTTTCTTAAGTTTTCTTCTACTTAATTTCCATGCAAGCAGAATCTACACAAAGGAACTTAAAGTTCGGATGGCTGAGTAAATGATTTAAAAAAAAAGGAAAAATCAGAGAAGCTAGTCAATAATTAGTGAATGGCTTCTATGTGGTGAGCTGTATTTTTCTGTTGTCTGCCTGGGCTGAGAGATTTTCATCTGATGGTTGTTTCATATTTTATCCAAATGCATATGTCCTTTGCCATTTGGAGTCTGTTGGTGTATTTACTGGCAAAGATTGCATTTTTTGCACCTGGGAGGACTGCATGACTTGGCATGCACACGTGTTTATCTGCCTTTGCCCCTTTGCACACACAGTGTATGTTTGTGCAAAGGCTGCTGTGGCTGCTGCAGCAGGCAATGGCTCCAGGGTCCGCACCCCAGGTCTGTTCCCAGGACTGGGATAGGTGTGATTCACTCTTTCAATTATTTTTTTTCTTTTCTGTACTTTGTTATTTTTAAATTTCCTTTATCTGGTGTGCAAGGCAGCCTCACCAGCTCAGCCCCGTGCTGCAGAGCTGTGGGCAGGCATTCCCTGCACGGCAGGCAGCCAGCCACACGGGCAAGCAGACAGGAAGAGCCAGCGAGCTGAACAGCCAGCACCCACACCCACGGACATTCAAACTGCTCAAGCCAGCTCATCACTCTGCAGCCAGCCTGCCTCAGCTGCTTTTTATTTCACTAGAAAATGTCATGCTTTGACTCAGAGCTGGATGCTATGGGGATGAGCTTTCCACGCATCCAGCTGGTCCCAGCCTGCCACCGCCATGCCAAATGTGCAGAGTGACTGCAGACCGTGCTTTGCAAGGCTTCTGTGAGACACTGGTGGTGCTCTGTGCAGCTGCTTCCCCACACGTCCTCAGCTGAGGTAGGCAGCAAACAGCCTGTGTGGGGCCCCTGTGCCGGATGAGCTCTCAGCACCTCAACAAGGTGCTCGTGGTCTTTAAAGACCACCATCCTTCCTTTCTGCTGGGTGGGAAGATGCATCACCCTGCTCTGTAACAGAGATACTAAATTTTGACAGTGAGTGCAGGGGTGCAGTGTGGCCTGTATAGCAGCTCACTGTCCTTTGACCCCAGTGCACACCAGAGCTCCATTTCAAAATGCAATTGGGTCAGACACTGACTTTCCAGCCTGCAGCAATATCATACCACAGACTCCAAGTGCCTTGCTCCCCTGAGCCTTGCAGAACACTCAGTCTTTTGTTCAGGTATTTCTTCTCCTGAAGTTGTGTCTTTAACTTGGCTGCTGGTGGGTCTTATGACCTGTGTAGAGGCTCAGTGCCCAGCTGGGCACTGCCCTCCTCAGTCCTGCTCACTGGGACATGTCCAGCCAAGTGGACATGTCTCTGTCACCTCTGTTGTCTTGGGGTGTAGAGACACCACTGAGGCTACTTCCAAGAGGGAATTTGTGATGTTCTGAGCACATGCATGGCTCTAATATTCAGCCAAAGAGTGGGGCTGATGTTTCTTTTGCCTTTTCTCTCCTCTCACATGCAAGTAGAGACAATTAACCCTTGGATTAGTGCATGTTAAATAGTCCTTTGGGGCCCATTGGACTGGGTACATCACTGCCTTCCTGCCAGCCAGGAAGGCTCCTTTATTCCTTGGTACTTGCTTTGAGGCTTTGGCTCCATCCTCTGTGTGGGCTAAAATGATGTGCCTCTAGCTTTCACTTTTGATAGCACTTTGGGACATCAGAGCTGATTCTGTGGCTTCCTCAAATGGTTCTAAGTGTGGAGGTTGCTTATTTCTTTCTTCTGGATAAAGAATATTGCTTGTCTTAAAAGGGCCTTATGTTTTGGTCTCATATTTAGTGATGCAGCAGGGACAATCTGCCCCATTTCTCCATGAGATGCTTAAGACTAACCTTGTAGACATCAGAGAACAGTGAAAGCTGTGGTAAACATACAGAAGAATCAAAAGACTTTGCCTAGATTCAGCTACACAACTTCTCATCCAATTTATCTGGTATGGTTTTGGCTTCTTTATGTCTTCTCTATCTGATTTTTGCACTGGTCCTTTGCCCTGGGGATTGTTACTGCAGCTGAATGTGTGGCAGATGGTATGTCAGGTAGGTGCCTCTCCAGTGCAGTGCTTGTTTCCAGTGCACTGTGATGCACCACATTACTTTGGTTTTCCCTTACATGTAGCTCCTTATTTCCTTCATGGCAGTTTTACTTCCATCTTACCACCCCCATTTTGCTGGCTCACCACATTAAAATAAGTGTCCCTTCTGGAAATCTGCAGTGCTCACAGCTTTCTGGCTGCAGTGAGCTTTCTTTGTAGCACTGAGTTTCTTCTCTTCTCTATAACTATTTTTTTCTCTTAGATATTCCAGCAAACATGCCAATAAATTATTTAGTTCTTCCTTGTTAGTGGCGATTAGATCTCCCTTGTGCCAAATGAACAAAGCACTGCAGTGAGCAGCCTTCTCAGGGATATGTTAATAAAGCCATGATGCACACAATTGTTTTTCTCACAGTGCAAATGAATGTCTTCTTACATATGAATAGTCCTGTACTCCAGGTACAAAAATATCAGTGCCCCGAACTGCTCTGTATCTTTCCATTGTCTTGCAAAGACACGCATATGCTGTCTTGTGTTTTGACTTACTGGAAATATGCCTCTACTCTTTGGATAAATAGAAGAGTGTAGGTTCACTGGCAGTGAGTGCAGTGGTGGTTTTCTTCCAGTGCTGTATCCACTCAGACATTGCTTTTTAATATTGTGAAGGCTACTGTGGTTTTTCCATCTCTCTACACAAGTAGATGGGAGCCTCTGATAGGTGTTTGGCAGATGTTAACCAGAATCAGACATCTCAGCTTGAACAGTAACAGAAGGAAAATTCAGTGAACAAGAAATCAATACCAACAGCTGTAAGACACAGCAATGCACAGACATATATGGACCATTAAAAAAACTCACAGGAGAAAAGTGACATTCTCTGAGAGTACAAGTAGTGATGTCTCTCATTCTTTAAGGTGTTTTGATTTTTTATGTTTGCTGTTGCAAACATTGATTTCTGCTTTTTACATTTTTTTACAACTTTTTTCTTCTTGCTACTTCCTTATATTTTGCTGCTGTTTTAAAAGACTGCATTTAAGCTGAAGGGTTTTTTCTGTATTTTTATCTCCCTACTTCGTTCCCTGTTAAGCCAGAGAATGAGCAAGGTCGTAGAACTTCTCTAGAAAAGTTCACTCGCAGCGTGGTAAGTTCCTTTTCTTTTCCCTCCTCCCTTTCCTCAGAACTTCATTTTCAGCTGGGGGAAATGTGGATGCTTGACTTTTTATTTCATCCTTTATTTTTGCAGCTAGCATCTTTGCAGCTTCTCTCTTAATACCGTAGCTCATCTAAATAGTAGCTCTAAAGAAGGGGCTGGGGGTGGGGGAGAAATGGCATAATGCTCATTCTAGCTTATCATCATTGCAAAAGCAAATTGATTTTTTTGTCTAGAATTAAATACAAAGTTGCCTTTTTGCTACATTCCCACTACAGTGTTTGTTGTGGCTTTTCCTTGCACAATGAAGTAGAAGAGCATGGTTCTCATAGCTCCATTGCAACAGTATCTGTACGGTTCCTAGTGCATGGATAATGATACCCCACACACATATCCACCCACAGCACTGCGGCCGCTTCCTCCGTTGCCCCATCTGTCAGTGCTCATGTAAATAGTGATGTGCGATACCCTTTGCCTCGTTCATGATACTGATACCGGAAAAGGAGCACAGTCACAGCAGGAAACATGACACTGTTACATCTTTTAGACAAGGAGACAGCAGGACCTCAAGGGCAGATGTGCTCCCTCTTTGTCCTTCATTAATCTCCAGCCTTCAGCCAGTGTGTCCAGAGCTTGGCCAGGGCCTGCTTGCCACACTTGCATTCAGGGATCTGTCTGTGCAGCAGTTTTTCTACAGAGCAAGAAAAGCAGGGAGAGGGGGCAGGACCAGAGGCAGATGCTGCAAGTGGAGTGGAGTAGCAGGGATACTGGACAGCACAGGCTGTGTTTTGAGCTGCATCAAAAGCAGCGTGACCAGCATGTTGGGAAAGGGGATTCTGGTCATCTACTCTGCTCTTGTGAGAACCTCACCTGGAGTGTTGCATCCAGCTCTGGAGTCCCCAGGACAGGAAAGACATCGACTGAATCCAGAGGAGGACCACAAAGTTGATTAGAGGAATAGAGTACCTCTTCTACAAGGAATGGTTGAAAAAATTGGGTATGTTTGTTCTGAAAAGTGAAGACTTTGGGGTTATTTAATTGTGGCCATCCAGTACTTTAAAGGAGCCTACAAGAAAGACGAGAGGGACTTTTTATAAGAGCACGTTGTGACAGGACAAGGGCGAATGAATTCAAACTAAAACAGTAGGTTTAGATTGCATGTTAGGAAAAAAATCTTTACTGTGAGGGTGGTGAGGCACTGGAACAGGCTACCCAGAGAACCTGCAGATGCTTCATCCCAGGAGGTGTTCAAGGACAGGGTTGATGGAGCTCTGAACAACCTGGTCTAATAAAAGGTATCCCTGCCTGTGACAGGGGGGTTGGAACTAGGTGATCTTTAAGGTTCCCACCCAAAGCATTCTATGAGTCTGTGACATTCTTCCATGTGTATATATATAGATATGTATATTTATAGGTACTCTACATACACACACATGGCATATAAATACAGCACCTTTGTAAATCCTGAGAGAAACAGGAAGCTGTGCAGGTAAGTGTGAGCTGCTGTAGAGCAAATAAGCTGAGAGCAGTTCTTCCTGACACTGCTGTGCTACTGCACAAGCAAACCCAAATGTAACATACAAGGCTTTGTAGTACATCCACTGGCAGACTTCCTGGGAAATGTATTTATATAGCTAATGCATATGCACACATTTAAAATATGTTGATACAAAATATATCACTATGCCCATCTGCATATTTACTACTTTCTAAGAGTCTGCCAGGGAGAGGAGTAGGAAAGATTTTTTAAATTTTTTTTTTAAAACAAACTATGCAGAAATATTTACATCGAGTGGTAAATTCTGCTCCCAGATTTGCCAAGTACATGGAAGAGTAACTCTCACTTTACTAGACTGGCTGGGTTTACAGTTGCACAGCCAAGGATGGATTTTTCTCTTGCATTTGATTTGAAGGGTAACTTGAGAAGCTAAGTTTGGGATGCTATGATTAGAATGTAAGTAGCTGTAAAGAAAATTGTAGTAGATTGGTTGGCACTTTAGTGCATTTTTGTCTTACTGATGAGCATGCTGTAAATATTTTTTTTTCATTTCTCTTAATACAGATATAAAATCTCATCTTCTGATGGCATGGTAGTTACCAGAACTAGGAAGAGTCTGAATTTTTTATACTTTGCATTATGGCAGTTTGTCATTGCCATCAGATGAGAAAACAGTCACTATGTCGACATGTCATAATGTCCTCAGAGGACAGTATCACCAGTGAGAATGTTATGGCATAGTCAGGGGACTGAATTAAGATGAAGTTAATTCTGTATGCTCTAGTTCTCCAATATGCACTGCAGCTCCCTGACTGTGTGGGAGTGGAGCAGTTCAGCAGTCCATACTTCCAGAGCTCCACTGTGCTTTGTGATTGCTCATTACAGGATCACATATTCAAGCCGGCCCTGCACAGGCGTGAAGAAGTTAAGTGTATGCTTAAGGTTTGGCTGGAACAGACCCCCAATTTGGCTCTCTTCAAGGGAGGAGCACTGAGCCTATTTTGCAAGCAGATTATTATGAGGTCACATTTCCAGTGATGACTGTAAGATAAATCTCAAAACAAGTAAGGGCTAAAAGTTTATTTGCCTTAAGTAGCCATAGTTGAAGTGAAATAGTTTCCCAGATTGACTGAACTATTAATTGTCTGTGGATCTGGGCAATTAGACTCCAGACTGTGCTTCTCTGCCTGGCACCGGGAGGGCCAGTAGACCCCTGGGACAATTTTCAGATTTGGCTATAGCATGTGACCCAGCATTTTGGGAAATCACAGAATAGTTACAATTGGAAGGGACCTTTGGAGATCACCTAGTCCAATTCTCCTGCTAAGGCAGGGTCACCTATAGCAAGTTACACAGGAATGTGTCCAGGTGGATTTGGACTGTCTCCAGAGGGAGACTCCATGGCTTCCTTGGGCAGCCTATTCCAGTGCTCTGCTACCAACAATGTAAAGAAGTTTATGGGACATAAGTCTGCCAAGCCAATCTCTAACCCATCCCTCTCTGTCCAAGGGGAAGTCTCCCTTTCTCCACCCTTCCTCTCTTACTTCCAAAGTCTGGGATTCCCAACCTCAGCACTAAAAACTGAGACATTCAGTAACTGGGCCTTCTCTGTGTCTTCTGTCACCAGGACATGCATCTGATTGAGCAGTAGCCCCACATTTCCCCAGATCTTCCTTTTGCTGCTGATGTACGTTAGAAAACCTTGTTGTCCTTCATATCCCTTGCCAGACTTAATTCCAAATAGGCTTTGGCCTTCTGTGTCACATCCCCACATACTCTGACTGTTCCTTCAGTCCTCCCACATGGCCAGTCCCTTTTTCTACATCCCAGAATCTGTTTGAGATTTATTAGAAGCTCCCTGCTCATCCAAAAGGGTCTCCTGCCCCCTTTGCTTGATTTCTTGCTCATGGTGATACACTGGTCTTGAGCTTGGAAAAAGTGATGCTTGAATATTGACCAGCTCACTTGGACCCCCTTTCTTCTAGAGCCCTTCCTTTTACATCATTGTACTCAAATCTGGGGAACTTTGGGGAACATTGCAGGTGGCATAGAGCCAGAGCAAGAGCATGGGGGTAGAGGTTCATGATCCTTTCCTTGCTGGAAATACTGTATTTACAGTGTTGCTTTCCATATCAGAGAAAGCTGACTTGCAGCCAGAAGACCAGACGTGTCCAGCATCTTAGACAGGGAGTCTTCACCTGAGTGAAAAAAATCAGACTCTCTAAGTTTGCCTTTTCTGGTTTCTTATTTCTCATCATCTCTTGATTGACAAAGACAGGAAAAAAATGCAACATTTCAGAAAGAGAAACAAAAGAGAAACAGTAAAGCTTTGTGTTGACAAACTACAAAGAGTATTGCAGGCTTTTTATATCTTATTTGAGTTAAGCCCCACCTGTGAAAAATCTTACAGTGCTTCCAAACTGGTCTCCTGCACTGGGTGGAAAGATGTACACCTGGTTTTGGGAGCACAGACTTGGAGCAAATGGAAGTTGTTTTACCCACCCGGCTCCTGCTTATCTCAGTCATAACTCAGGAGTCAGGGATTAGCTCCAGACCATTTGACATACTATAACAAGACACCATGAAGTTCTGCTAGGCAACCAGAGGCTTTCCACCTTCACATGGATCAATGGGGAATAAGAAAGAATAGGGCTTTATATGATTTTTTTATACCAGTCTTCAACTCCTTCAAGACCCACTGTCTTGTCTTCCTTGACTTGATACTTTTGACCAACGGAAGGCATCTCGTGACTAATGAATGCACTGAGTTTTTGCACCACATCTTTCTGAAAGCCACGTGCTGCCTGGTCCACATTAAGCATGACACTAAGAGCAAGCTTTTGACAGGGCAATTTTCACTGTGGTGACGGTTCACCTTTTACTTCCAGGTCCTTACAAAGAATCAGCTGACACCTTAGCACCTTAGTGCAGTAGCCAAAAGGGGCTTGTGCCCACTGCGGTCAGGTCCTTCTGTACCAAAGGACATAGTTTGCAGTGCCTGTCTGGATTCCCCTTGGAGCGAGGGAACATCTGTCTCATCCAGCCCTCAACAAGCCAGGCACCCTCAGCCTCCTCAACTCACCTGACAGAAGTCTAAAGCTGTGATGTCCATGTGTTTCATGGCAGCTTTGTAGTCCCAGGACCAAACATGGTCATCAGTCATCTGGTGAGCATCAAAGGGCCACATCTGCATGGTGGAGCAACAGAACACTACAGGGCACATGCTGCCCAGCGCTGCTGGAGCAGAGGGGTGGCAGATGTCTTTTCTCCTCTCTTCAGGTTTTGAAGAGTCCTCAGAAATACATAGGCAGCACAGTGGTAGGATAAACATCACAGTACCAGGCCCTTTTGGCCCTGTGTCAGGCTCCCATGCTCTGGAATCACAGGTACAAAACTAGGCTGGCTCTTCCATGCTCTCCAAGGTGCCCAGGGGAATGGTCGATATCCCGGAGCTGCAGAGCTGACAGTCTATTGCTTGGAAGCACTTATTAAT